ATAAACAACCAAGAATGTCTTCCCAGTACAGAGAAATAAAGGTATTGGTTACTAGTGTCTTAAGGTTACTATTGCTGTGGTGATGAAACACCATGACAAAAAGCAGCTTAAGGAAGAAAGGGTTTATTTACTAACAGTTCCATATAACAGTTCACCATCAAAAGCAATGAAGACAGGCACTCAGAGGCAGGAAATGATACAGATGCCATGGAAGGGTGCTACTTACTGGGTTGCTCCTCGCGGCTTGTTCAGCCTGCTTTCTTATAGAACCCAGGACTTCCAGGCCAGGAGTGGCATCAAACATAGTGAGCTGGGATCTCACACATTAATCATCAATCAAGAAAAAGCCTTACAAGCTTGTTTAAACCCAACATTATGGAAAAATTTTAATTGAGATCCCTCCTCTCGATGAATATAGCTTGTGTCAAGTTGACATAAAATTAGCTGGCACAACTAGTGAATAATTAATTCTATACTATCTACCACAATCTCACTTTTTCAACTCAGAGAAAAATGGCACATTCTAGATTGCCTATTTATGAAAAGAAAGGAAAAGAAAAGTCTCTTGTGACCATTTCACTTAGAGGTTATTTAACAAACAACTCATTGTAATACATGGATTTGTTCACCTCTCAAACCTCATCATCATATGTCCTGCTATAACTTCTAGACTACTGATGAATACTATATTTCAAGACTTTGCTTCTTAGTTTCCTTTAGACTCACCAGTTTCAATAGCCCATTCATTCAGCAGCCCATTCATTCAGCTTAGCACTCCCTCTCATAAACATCCTGTCATTTCAAAACTCTATCTCCCTCTCAAGTTCGCTACTTCTAGAGGTAGAACAAAGCCTGGTTTCACCACTTCACAGATAAGTGATCATGGGCTTCCTATGGCCCATTTATTACTGTTTCCTTATCTGTAAAATGGGAATAGGAACAGAATTGTGGAGACTGAAACATCTACCAAGTGTCTAATATCCGACAGTGATTAATATGTGGCATCTATTACTGGGCTTATTTTTAACATTTTCAATATATTTTAGTGTGTGTGTGTGTGTGTGTGTGTGTGTGTGTGTGTGTGTGTGTGTGTGTGTGTGTACATGAATGCAGGTGCCCAAGGGCTGATGCCCCTCTAGCTGAAGTTACAGACTTGTAAGCCATCTGATGTGGATGCTAAGAAACAAACTCAGGTCCTCAGGAAAAGCAGAGGGGTTGGAGGGATCACACAAATATGAATAAAAAGAAAACCACTAAGTATCTGTATAGGGTAAAGGTAAAAAACAGTGTGTCTTCCAAATATGGGTAACCATAGGGCATTATAAACAGAAGCTTAATAGTCATTGCTAAGACCTTTTCAGATACATGCCAATGTGTATACATAACAACAAACAAGCTATCAAAAAGTACAAGCTGTATATTTATAATTAGGCACCATTTATCTGAATAAACTAAAAAGCATGCAAAAGCACTTGCTACCAAACCGGAATTTAATCCCCAGAACCCATTTTGTGGAAAAAGAAAACCCATTCCTGCAAATTGTCCTCTGGCCTCCACATTTATACTGTGTTGTACCACACAACAATCAATCAGTTCATCAAGTAAGCCTGCATCGTCTCCTGTAAGTCAATGACAAGAGCCTTAGGTGCTGGAGTCAAGAAAAAAGCACACCAATTTGTTATTCAATACTAATTGGTACCCTAAAAAACATACATATAAACATACAGACTAAGCAGGTTGCATTTATGTGTATATGTATGTGTATGTATATATTTATATATATATGCATGCACATACATATGTAAAATAATTAATGAAAAAAGAGACCATAAATTTGAAAGAGAAAGAAGCAGGACATATGGGAAGGTTTGAAGAGAGGAAAGAGAAGGTAGAAAATGATGTAATTATAATCTCAAAAAGAAATAGTTTTTAAAAAAAAAGTATAGTCTTTGGCATGGAATAACCCATCATATCATGTTCAGAAAAGACAATGCCTAATTGACTTCTAAACCCTTACCAACATACATATCTAAAGTGACTTTTTTCATACTGGCTTAGGAAGATATATAATATTTTATGAAGTATTTAATTACATATAACATATTATTATGATGTTTACTATAATAATTATATATATTCACACCCAATAATAGCTAATATATGCTTAAAAAACAGGCCAACTACATAAAAAATCATATAGATGTAATGCATAAGCTTTTAAGCATCTCACTAAAATGTTAGCTATGCAAATACATTAGCACAGTTATTTTTCATATAATGAACACAATAAAGAGGTTCACATATATTTTAACTATAACATGAACTCCATAGTAATCTGTTCATTTGATTCTAAAGTATAAATCCTATGAGGTGCATCAGGTTCTCTATTTTTATATAATGGAGCATAGATTTGAAGGTCTGATTTTAGCTAGGAAAGGATATACTCTAACAAGTCAAGCGACTAAACAGCTGCTGATGCTAAAAAGAGTTTCATATTATTCTGAGTTAGGCACTAATTTATGCTTTAAATTTTCCATCCTGCGATAATCTTTTTAGATGCATGAAAGGGAAAAGCAACAATACTTTGAATGCTGATCTGAGTCTCTCATTTAGTAACGAGCAGAAGATAAATTTGAGATGCAAGTTTAGGCTGCCTGGCTTGAACCTAGAATCCCTTATCATCCTACCTCCATCTCACAAGTTCTGGGACTACAGGTGCGTGCCACCATGCCTGCTTTATGCTATACTGTGGATTGAGTCTAGGTGTTCCTGTATGCCAGGAACAAATGAGCTACACCTCCAGCTGGAGTATTTTGTTTTTTAATCTTTCCACTTGGTTGTTTGTTAGAATATTGTCTTTACATATATTTGATTTTGATAATATATAGTACCAGCAAGAAGGGCCTGAAGGAAAGTGGATGGGAGCAGACATCCTCTGCTCTTGGGACACCCATTTCAAATGTTAACTCTGATTCCCCATAACTATATGTATAGATTTTGAATTACCATGGTTTTCTTGCCCTTATGGTCTAAATGAAAATAGTTACTTTAAAAACTAGTTTTAGTTTTCTGCAAATAAAACTGCATCTTGCTGGGTGTGATGGTGCCTACTTTGTAGCCTCATTGAATGTACAGGCAGGAGGATAAGGAATTCCAACCTACATATGAAGTTTGATGATAGTTTGGACAACATGAGATACTCTCAAATCACCCCTCTCCCCAAAAATCAAAAGACAAAGAAAGGCTAAAGGTCAATGAATAATGAAAACTAGCAGAAAATATTTATAATATATATATTACATTAGAAAAACAAATAATACATGTGCATGTATATGCATGCTAGACATGTCTGTATCTCCTAATTCCTTATGGTTCAAAACCCACCACTAGGACTGAGTACAAATGTAGCTCACTTCATAGAGCACTTGTCTCAAATTCATAAGAGCCTTGGGTTCAATCCCCAACACTGTACAACCTGGCTTCCACAGCACACAACTGTTAATCCTAGCACTTTAGTGGCAGAGGCAAGAGATTAGAAGATCAATGTCATCCATTCTGGCCTACAGAGTTTGAGGACAGCCTGGGAATTTTGAGGCCATGTCTTAAAAGATAATAATAAAAAAGTAAAACCCACAAATAAGAACTAAATCTTCTATTTACAATGCTGTACAAAATAGAGCCATCACAAAAAGTATTGCATTCACAAGACTCAAATTGAACTTGGAGACTAACACAAGTAATACCTCCCCCACCCAGGCATTCTGTTTTGAAGCTTTAGAAATGTATTATAGCTCAAGGAAACTCATTAAAGGAAGAACATTTCATTAGGGAACTTTCCATTTGTTTAATTTCAAACTACAGTAATACTTCTTAACGAGGTATTCAAGGTACTAAATTTAATTTGATTGCATTTATTTTAAATCCTTAATCATCCTTAATCAAGAGCCAGTAGCATTCAGTTTTTGAGGATTAGTTACTGACAAAGAGCTATGGATAACTTTTCAACACAAAAATTATTCAAACATCCAAATCCAAGAATTGAAAAGTCACTATATCAAAATATATCTGTGATGTAAAACACAAAACCATACTGTCATGAATTCTAAAACCAAAAGGTAGCAAGTATTTATAAGAAAAGGCCAACATAAAAGCTTTCATTATTAACAGATATATATTACAATTGGTACAATTGCTGGATGATAGATTCCAATGGTTAAATATTTTGAATCCAATAGTTGAACTCGTTTCAGACCCAAACTGTATCATTAAAAAAAAAAATCACAAAATAGTAAAGCTTTAATCTTAAAATTAAAACAAAATAACAGAGGCCAATTACTAATACTTTCACTGGAAATATTCATATAGAAATATATAATTTAAAATTGTTGCAATTTCAATACTTGCCATCTTAAATTTAGTCTCTGAGTAGAATGCAATCACTAAATAACAGCTATGAAACTTAAAGTGTCTTTATGAATAATTTATGAATTGTTGCAGTTAAATACCTTTAGTATGATTGATTTTGAGAATGATCAACTATAGCCAGTGCTCATACCATATACTATTATCAAAAATCCCAGTACACAGCCAAATATCTACCCACTCATTACCTTTCAAAACCTAGATGGGAATCCATCAAATAATCAACTGGGTCTGCATGAAAATCACACAAGACTCCTCCTCACTCCTGAGTAACTGAATATGAATTTAATATGCCACTGTCTTCCCATCCAACCTCATTCTTTCCATTATATAATATTTCATAAATAGATTGGCTTAAAAAATAGCATGTAGCTGGGGGGAAAGCTAACTTTCACTTACCATGATCATGTTTACCCCAAAAGTTGCCTTTCCTCTGCATTCACATATCAATTATATTTCATTAAGAGTCACTATTGAACCAGACAATTTTAATTACATGCCCATATATAAAGAACATTGTGTTAGTTTTAAAACAGCTAAAATAATATATATTTTCCTTGTGAAAATCATGTACTTGCCTTGTGTCTGCATTTAAGTACAACTCCATAGGCTCCTATAATTAAAAAGAAGTAAGCAATTAGAGACATGCATACAAACTATAGTTCTATATTTATATTGCTTATGAGCATATGTTAGCATAACCACATCTATGACAATATTATAGAATGATAAAATCATGAGACACATACAAATAGAGCATATTTTAGTATGTTTTTTATAAATCAAAGGTATAGACAAGTCACTGCTTCCAATAAATACTTGAAAATTCTGAAATTTTTTTTACAAAGAATTGTTCACTACACACATTTCTTATTTTAGGCAGAAAAGGTCAAATAAATACATAGATTATAGGACTATGAGGCTGTGTGAACTGGGAGGCTGAGGCAAAATGAATGCCATCAGTGTGAGGCGAGGCCATCCTGGGCCACACAGTAACTACCAAGCCAACAAAGGGTACATAACAAGACAGTATCTCAAAAAAAAAGGACTTTTTGAGCAAATAAAAATCAACTCAACAAGTTCTAGGGAACTTAAAACGTAAAAGCTAATAATTTTTACTGTAGCAATTTATGTGTAACTCATGCTCACCGAGAGTCTGTTTGCTTTAATAATAGGAACTGAATTTTAGAGTGTAGATTAATAAAAGCAAATTACTTCATGCTATTGAGAGAGTAAGGCAGACTGGAGACTCTATTAGTTGAGGGTCAGATGGTCTTATCTAGGAAGAAAACTGAATAGAGTGCACTACTACCCTTTTTCCATTTAGATGTGAAAAGTCCCCACAAGAACATAATTTGGATGGCTTCCACGGGGTTGTGTTTTCTGTAGAAATGGTTTCCTTTTATCCATGGATCCCAAGTTTTAAGATGCTTTTACATTTTTTAAAATCTGACAAATTTAGTCATGTAACACATTTATTCCTGTGTAATCTTCAGTGACAAAATGATTTCCTCATTTGTATGTATAAAAACAATGCCAGGAACAAAAACAAAACTCATGAACAATCTTGCTGGCCCAAAAAGGCAAATTTTGTAAAACAGGTAAGCAATTGAGAATGAATTTTCATTACATAATATCAATGAAGAAAAGGAGTTGACTAATGAAGGAAGAAGGACCATTTCTTTGGTATGGTTAGAACTTTAGACCTTGAAACAAGCACCTTAATTATCAGGCTCTCATTGTTTCTAGTTATTTGAGAAGGATTTGACAACCTAATATTAAAATTTTGAAGAACACTGCAAAATTTTTGAAATTCAGATTTTATTTTAAAAACCTAAAATATAATTTTTTGTAATATCTGCTTTTTATAAATGCTAAGAAAACACATTTTCACTGATATTCTATTAAAATAATATTTATAAATTTCTATAAAGTTATCTTTAATAGTTAAAACAACTAAGCAAGAAAAGCAGGGTAATTATCTTTTTCTAGGATTCTATTTTTGAGAGCACTGAATCCTAACCACTAGACCACCAGGGAATATTTTTGAAAACTGAATTACACTTTATCAAATAAATAGTATCTTTGGTCATAAAAGCATCATGTTATGAACAACAAGAAATAAAAATTAATAGCATTAAAACCATAACATGCATACTGACTTAAGATATTAAACAATATAACCAAATTGTATCCCTGAAAGCTTGTAAACTATGGTCTGTCATTGGCAAATAAATGGAGGTCATTTATTTGTTTGCCATATTGTAAATTAAAGTTAGCACATGCAAATAAAATTTAAGTTATTTAATATAAGCTTAAATGATAAAAAAAAATGTAAAAATATGTAGACTAAGGAAACTGTAATCCCAGCACTCCAGAGACAAGAGGCAGGCAGATCTCTGAGTTCAAGACCAGCCTGTTCTACAGAGTGAGTTCCAGGACATCAAAGACTACATAGAGAGACTTAGTCTCAAAAAATATCTATTAAAATTTAAGGAGTTTTTAACTGTTACTAGTTTTCACTTGAAGAATAAGACCCAGATAGTTGAAGAACAGTTTTATTTTTATTATTGTACACTTAGTTGTACATTTGAATTGATGTTCCAAATTAAGAGGATCTAAATAAGTTTTGGTGATGGATAAAATGATATAATGCTCCAAAGTTCAAAGGTGAAATTCCAACTTACCTTCACCTACAACCCCAAGGATCTCAAATTTATTCATCACATTACCAATGTTAGGAATCTTCATGAAGACAAACTCCTCTTTTGATATAAGCCACAAAACATGGCATCAAAAAAGGAACTTTAGAAAAAGTTATTCAGTAAACAGAAGAAAAAAAATGTCCCAACAAAGAATGCTTGGCAAGGAACTCTCACACATTTGTTCAATGGTGAAGTATTAAACAAGTCCCTGAAAAACAAACACAATGAAATACCATTAGTATTACGTTACAATACTCAACATGTTATATCCTTTTAAAAATGCTTTTAAATCCATGTTAATGTTTCATATGCTGCTTTAAAAAGTAGGAAGGTAGAAGCTCAAATAAAATGAATCTCTTATAACCACAATTAAGAGGGGACCAGTTAAGTCTTGAAAATGGGACTTTACCTAATGTCCTCACTCTAAAACCAAAATAAACATTATACCCAACCACTTATATCTTAGACATTTTCTTTAACAGTGATAGAACATTTTTTGGTCACATTTTATCTTAATTAACATATGTCAGGATTGAGGAAGTTCATTTCAGTAAACTGTTCTTCAAACACCTAATTATTATGTAAGTGTGATTTAAAATCCCAGTGTCCAGATTGTTACCCTATCAAATTTTATGGACTCATACATGACTTATTTTTCATTCTTTGGTCTAATATTTTATTTTTATCTATAAAGAAACTCATTTCTCTACTTTACATTTAAGACTAGAATTACTTAGAAACAAATCAGGCAAAAGGGACAAAGAATAGTTACATGACCCTAAAGATACATTATCAAGGAAACCATAATTTAAATTGTCCATTGCCATACTAACAGACTGTATAACTGTAAACACATGGGATAGAACATTTTTTTAAAGAAGGAGTCTCACTATGTAGCCCTGGCTGGAACTCAGAGATTCATGTGTCCCTGGCATTTGTGTGCTGAAGTACTAAGACTAAAGCTGTGTGCTATCACACTACTCAACAGTAAAGTATACAGTGACTAAAGATACCTCTGTTTCTGTTTGGAATTATTTTTATTCTTTGGTGATTTCATACACGAATACCTACCCCCCCTCTCTCTTTCACACACACACACACACACACACACACACACACACACACACATACACACACACACACACGTGGGAGCACACACTTTGCTTCCCTCTACCTTAACCTTCAACTCCTTCTGGATACCCACCACCATTTCCACTTCCCAACTTTATATCTTTTCTTTATAATGACATACAGAATCCAGTGTATGTATGGGTGTTGGGCGCCATCCACTGGAGCATGAACAACCTACCCGGGGCCACATCTCTGAAGAAAACTGACAGTGTCACATTAACTGCCAAGAGTTCCTCTACTAGGGGTGGGACCTTATGAGGCCCACCTTCCCCATGCTGGACTGAGACTTTCGTTTCTTGCTCTCACCAAAAAGAAACACAAATATGAAAGGGCAAGAAAATGATATAAATGTTTATGTCCTCACATACACACAATCCCTAGCCCTGTGCTTTGAGGAAGCCTACAAGTAATGGCACACCAACAGCTCTGAGCACACTGCATACTCTAGTGAAAGGACTTCTGGTTCTTTGGAGAAATGACTAATTTAAGATTAGGATAAAAAAAAAAGTGAAGAGCCAGAAAGAAAGGAAATGCTGAAAGGACAACTGGGCCATATCAAATGGACTCAGGAGCCAAGCTAAACTGGCTCACACTGGCCATATGGGTAATATCTGAACAGTAACAAAATGATATATTGTAAATTATAATATGGAGACTAAAATAAAAATATGTCTAGAAACAAATGCAGGCCAAATGTTTAATGAATTTTTACAACAAATAATAAAGGTAGTGATAGAATTACAAAATCTCCATTTGGCAATCACTCTGGTAATAATTACTTCGGGCAAGTGTCATCAATATGTGTTAAAACTTACAGTTGAATAGTTATAGGAAAGACAATATATCTTGTCTCAAACTATCTACCCACAAGGCACCTATTATTTTAATAGTGAAGAATCCTGCCAGGCACAGCAATAATTAAGTAATCAAAGTCAATATGGTCAATAATGGAAGAAACCAACATTATATGTCTTTTGATAGAACAGATCACACCACAACTTCTGTGGCAATTCTACCAGAAATGCCTAAAACTAGCCAGATATGGTATTATGTAACTGTCATTTCAGCACTTAGGATGCTGAAGCAGGAGGATCATGAGTTCATATCTAGCCTCAGTCAAATTGTGAGTTCAGGATCAAGGCAAAAGAGACAAAATTTAAATTCTGAGTTTGATAAGACTGAGGTTATAGAAAACAATGGTTCAGTCTTTAGTTTGTGGTAGTTTTTAATTTAAAAAAAAAAACTTGCCATGCTTCTACAAATAATAGCTGAGTTTTAAAAAAGACAGTGTTATGAAAGAAATCTAACCTAAGAAATTATTGTTGCCTGTAGAATCTCAAACTTAAAAAAAAAAAAAAAAAAAAACATGAGTACCCCATGTAATATGTAGACAGGAAGTATCCTCTCAAACATAAGGGTGGAAATGTAAACTAGGACAAGACTTCCAAAGAATTAGAATGTCCATAATTAAATGATAAAGATATGTGACCATATAGAACCTGAAATAGCTAGGCATAGTGAAACAGCACTTTAATCTGAATACTCAAGAGGCAGAGGAAAGGCAGGAGAATCTCTGTGTGTTCAAGACCAGTCAGGTCTGCACAGTGCACAGTGAGATGTTGCCTCGAAAAAACAAAACAAACAAAAAACCAAACAAACAAACAAAAACACCACACCAAAAACATACAATAAACTAACAAAACACACACCACATGCAAAATAAAAAGCAAAAAACCTGCCACCACTAGTCTTAAATGTGAATTATCAGACATTCATTTTTGCTTTAATTAAATACATTAGGCTCAGTAGTTCTGAGAACTTTGTTCTTGCAAAGGATCCAAGTTTGGTTCCCAGCACCTACACAGTGCTTATGACTCCAGCTCCAAGGGATGCACTGCCCTCTTCTGTCCCCATGGAGTACTACACTCATGTGCATAATTAAAACACAATTTAAAATAAAACCTTTAAAATAAATATTAAAAATATAACAATGGGAGTTCTAAGACTATGGACTGACAGATGGAGAACCTACATGGGACAGAACTAGACCTTCTGAATGTGGGTGACAGTTATGTGACTTGATCTGTTGGGGGGGGGGCGTCTTAGTGGCAGCAGGACCTGTCCCATGTGCATGAACTGGCATTTGGAGCCCATTCCCTATGGTGGGATACCTTGTTTATCCTCAATACAGGGTGGAGGGCCTTGGTCCTGCCTCAACTTGGTATACCAGACTTTGTTGACTCCCCATGGGAGGCCTTACCCCTCTGAGGAGTGGACGGGAGTGGGAAAGGTGGGAGGTAAGAGGGCAGGAGAAGGTGAGGGAGGGGGAACTGGGTTTGGTATGCAAATGCAAATAAATAATCTCTTAAATAAAAATGAATAAATGTATAACAATGAACTAGGCCTATCCATACTTAATTTTAAATATTATTAAAACATGTTAGGTTCTAGGCCTCCCAGCAAAGCATGGTATACATGTACACACATACACTGACAAAATGTAAATGATTCAAAAGAGAACTACAGATATTATTTATAAACTTAAAGGAAGTCAGAAGTGGTGATGCACACCTATGAGTCCAGCAATCAGAAAGAAGATAGTTGCAGGGGGCCAGCCTGGACAGCAAAGTGGGACCCTGTGCAAACAAACAAATTAGAGGGGCTTACGATGGCTCCGATAATAAAAAGGATTTTTAACTTTGCAACTTGAAGTCAACTGTGATGACATTATGAAAGGAAAGACAACTACTAAGGGATGACCACACACACACACACACACACACACACACACACACACAGACAGACAGACAGGAGGGGGGGAGAAAGAGAGGAATAATAAATAAAAATTAAAATGTAAAAAAAGACAAATGGAGAAATAGAAAGGGAAAGGAAGAGAGATGGGAAGACATCTTTTAGGGGCTCTTTTAGACATGATGGTGAGAGTATCTACTATCCACCCTACATGAGATTCTCACTTTTCAATGTTTCAATTCCTTAGTTATTGTTTGTAGAAGTAGGATAGGAAGGAATGGGGAGGGGGAGGGAAAGAAGGAAAACAAAATTAACAGTATAGTAACTAACAAACTGTTAGAAATTTAAGTGCCTAACAAGACAGCTGAACATAGGCTTCACATATAAATATCAATTATGTTTGTAAACATCAGTGGGGAAAAAAACTAAGCTTTTTTTTTTTTTTACAGTAGACCACATTTACAAGAACAAAAAAGGAAAACTTAGAATTTTACATGAGAAAATATATTTAAGATCTCCAATATAATTGTATAAAACATTATTCAAAGGCATTAAAGAAACCTATATAAATAAAAAGTATTCAAATTTAAAGGCTAACATGGTTCAATGCTACAAAAAAGTCAATTCATTTCATGTTAATATGTACAGTCAATGCAATTCTAATCAAGCAAGTTGATTTAAAATCTATATAGAAGAGCAAAGTTATACAAGTAGAAGCGATACTCTGTTTTTATAAGGAGAAAGGATTAAATGAATGCAAGTCAGCCCTAGGCAGGAGGATCTGACTGAATACTCTGCAGAACATACTGAGAGTTCTAACAGAACTATAGAAAATAAGAAGGTGTTATTGGCACCAGATTGGCAAATGAAGACTATAACAGATGTGAACATAATGGAAATACAGTTTCAATAATCATACACTATCCCTACAATGTCTTCTAATGCTGATGGGACTAAGTAATATTTACAGTTAAGTCAGATCAAGTTACTTCTCACTCAAAACTCTAGAATAACTTCCCATATCCTTTAAAGGAAAAGCCGAAGTCCATCTATAAGCCACATGCCTTGCCCACCTGTCCTCTGAAAACATCCCCTAGTTCCCAAATTGGGTTTCTTGGTTCCAATCACACTGACCACCTTTCACTATACTTCCTTCAAAAACTAAAATATCTTTTGTCCATCTAAGCACAACTCTAAGTCAGCGATTCTCAACCTTCCTATTGCTGCAGCCCTTTCATACAGTTCCTCAGTCTGTGCTGACCACTCCCCAACGAGAAAGTGTTTTCACTGCTACTGCCGTTTTGGTACTGTTATGTATCATAATGT